GCTAAAGAGGTAGAGTTTAAAGCTGGGGTTGCCGAGGGCAGTATCTATCACCACAAACTGGGACTATCAAGAGCCCCCCCCCCCCACACACACCGCAGCTGCTAAAGAGGTAGAGTTTAAAGCTGGGGTTGCCGAGGGCAGTATCTATCACCACAAACTGGGACTATCAAGAGCCCCCCCCCCCCACACACACCGCAGCTGCTAAAGAGGTAGAGTTTAAAGCTGGGGTTGCCGAGGGCAGTATCTATCACCACAAACTGGGACTATCAAGAGCCCCCCCCCCCACACACACCGCAGCTGCTAAAGAGGTAGAGTTTAAAGCTGGGGTTGCTGAGGGCAGTATCTATCACCACAAACTGGGACTATCAAGAGCCCCCCCCCCCCACACACACCGCAGCTGCTAAAGAGGTAGAGTTTAAAGCTGGGGTTGCCGAGGGCAGTATCTATCACCACAAACTGGGACTATCAAGAGCCCCCCACACACACCGCAGCTGCTAAAGAGGTAGAGTTTAAAGCTGGGGTTGCCGAGGGCAGTATCTATCACCACAAACTGGGACTATCAAGAGCCCCCCCCCCCCCACACACACTGCAGCTGCTAAAGAGGTAGAGTTTAAAGCTGGGGTTGCCGAGGGCAGTATCTATCACCACAAGCAGAAACCTGCTAAGGGAGAAGCTACTAACTCAGTGCAGAAATGTGAAGGTTGGGATTATTATCTGAACCTTTGGATGCAGCTATAAGCAGTCTGGATTTTTTCAGTAACAAGAGCCAATTAACCCTCACCCCACTCCCCTGCATACCTCCCTTCCATCCCTGCTATAGCTCAAAATCTCCCTTTTAAACTACTTTGTGCTAAGATTCTACTACCTTTTAGGGCCTTGGCTAACATTAACTACTTTCTGCTCACAGCACTCAGTGTGTGCAAGGCATTGTTCTAAGTACTTTACACCCATTAACTTAGTCCATGAAATAAGATATCATTATCTCCGTCATTTTTTTTTTTTCATTTCTGGAAACATAAGGGTCGCACCCAACCCCTATCTGAACAGAAAATCCAACTCTCTGGCCCAAGGCACTATCATTTTGGGACGGGCAGAGCCCACAGACCTTCTATGAGTCTCACCTGTCCTTCACTTCATCATTTGTAAAATGAAGATAATAGTAGTTTATCTACCTCAGGTTCCCGTGTATATGAGACTACACAGATAAAGCACTTAAACAGTACCTAGCAAACAGTACGCATTCAGTAAACAGCAATCCCTGTTACATCTGTGGATGACTACAGTGCAGCTATAAAATACCATGCAAATGAAAGAGTGCTTCCTTCCTTTAACTCTGCTCACATACAGAAGATGACGCTTTCTTGAGGCTTCAGATGTAGCTCAGTCATTAAACACTTGTCTTTCATGCCCCAGGTCTTGAGTTCAATTCCCAGCACCATAAAAACAGACATATGAAGTATTTAAAATGTGTCCCCTGCCTAGGAGCCCCTCATTGTGGTCCTGATTCCCATGGAACACTACCTCACCTAAATACCTTTTCCATGAAGTCCTTCCAGATGCTGAATCCCCACAGCATATAATCTGTACTTCATGTCCTTTGTGGTGCACCTGCCCAAGCCCTCTACTAGGCAGTGAGCTCCCTAAAGACGGTGTTTATCTTGGGTTCTCTATTTCCTCTTCTTGGCCCTATAAAAGGAATGGATTCTCTTGGGAAAAGTTCAGAGTACTATAGAGATCTGAAACTTAGAGAATGAGAAGATGGGGAGAGGTAGGTCACCAGAATAGAATATAGGATAGCTCAGAATCAGTGTCAAGAAAAGTTCCATGAACAGAAGCGCTGGGCAGGGGGATAGGCAAGGGACTGAACAGAGTGATGAAAGGGAAAAAGGGGCAGGTAAGGTGTACCAGACATGGAGAGTGGGGTCTGAGAAACTTGGAGCTACCCATTCTCCAATAATGCTCATTAATTCCCTGGGTCACCTGGCACATTCAGATAAAGCCTGTGCTTCTAGCTTCCTGTCCGGTGAGGGTAAGTGGGTAAGTGAATTAAAAATTACAAGCAGAAAAGTGACTGGTGCTCTACGAAGTGCACAGAAGACCCTAGGCAGTTAAGACACAGAACAGAACACCTGAAGTTGCCCACTTGGAGAGAGAGAAATGAGATGAGAGGGACATGTATGTTCAAGGAGGTAGCAATTTAAAGCAAAAGCAGCAAAGACTCTAGGGTGGGCCAGAGGAACAGATAGAAGGAGAAAGTGCTGAGGAAGAGCTGAAAGGGAATCATTCAAAGGCAGAATCTGAAGTAATTACTCAGAGGGTGGGGTAACTTTGTAAAGAAGCCAAGATCTTTCAAAGTGGGTAAGAAGTCTTTCTGGAGGATAGGGACTTCACACAGGAGATCCCCAGGAAAATGGGGATGCATAGCAGGGCACAGAGGCACATCTTTGGGGCTCTTTCAGGACTTTTTAGAGAGAAAGAGAGAGCCTCTTAGCAGTGGTTCTCAAACTTGAACATACATCGCAATCAACAGGATTGTTTGTTAAAAACTCAGATTGCTGGGCTCTGCTCCGAAGTTTTCTGATTCAGTAAGTCTGAGTAAGACTCAAGAATTGGCATTTTCCAACCAATGCTGCTGCAGGTCTCACCATACTTTGAGAGCCACTGACAGAAGGGAAGGGAATGCTTCAGTAAGGGGTCTTCAAAAATGGAAGGGATGAAAGCAAAGAGTTCTCAAGAAGTCTCTAAGTGGGTGCTAAAAGTCTTTCCATGTCTGAAAGGAGAGACCTATGAGGATCAGGTCTAAAAAAAGAAGGAAAGAAGGAAGGAAGGGGAGGAAGGAAGAAGGAAGGAAGGAAGGAAGGAAGGAAGGAAGGAAGGCAATCTGAGAGCAGAGTCTCCAAGCACTGGGATTTCCAAAGTAGAGGAAGCTTGGGAAAGGGAGTCTGAAGGACGCTGGGGCCTCTGAAGAAATAGTAGGGGAAGTAGGCTGAGAATCCAGAAGGGGTCTATGATTTCAAAGGAATAAGAATGGGAAGGTATCCCAGCACTCGGGAGGCAGAGGCAGGCGGATCTCTGTGAGTTCGAGGCCAGCCTGGGCTACCAAGTGAGTTCCAGGAAAAGGCGCAAAGCTATACAGAGAAACCCTGTCTCGAAAAACCAAAAAAAAAAAAAAAAAAAAAGAATGGGAAGGTAAGAGAAAAAATGGGAAGGTAAGAGTCCTGAAATAAGACTGGGGATGTCAGAAAGGAAAACTGAGGGAGGGTTCCCAGAAAGTGCTAGAGATTACTGACACAGGGCTTGGGAAAAAAATTCTGTAAAGAGTGTCTTGGGGGGAAGGAGTGGTCTTCTGAGAAAGGTCACGACAAAGGGATCTCTAAACACACACATACACACCCCACATGGGGGAGGGGTTAATGAAAAACCTCAAGTCAAAAAGAACATGGAACCTCCTAGGGAAGACCTGGTAGCATTAGATTAGGTTTTCCACAAAATATTCAGGGTGTTCAGTTATACTGAAGGATGACTGGGTAAGTGTGGAAGGCTTTCTAAAGATGGTTATGGAGAATGGGGGGGTGGGGGTAGGTTCTGGGGAAGAGATAGCTAGAAAAGTCTTTTAGTAATACAGTCTGAGAAATAACTCCAAAGGTCCTAGGGATGCAGGTCCTAGGGATGTCAGGGTCTCTGAGAAGTATTTTAAGGGCCTTTTCAGGGTTATTGGGGTTTCTGATGCTAGGGGATCCTGAAAGCTGTATCTCAGAGGGGTGTTTCAGGGTTGTAAGGAGGAGCTTCAGAAAGTTATCTAAGGCTACAAGAGGGCAGTCTCAGATTTTCAGGTTATCCAAGAAGAGTTCTAGAGAATACAGAGGCTATGAGGGAACTTTCTGGAGTCTTTACACAATTTTTAAAATATGGTGTGTGTTATTGGGAAAGATTTGGGATATCTAGGAGGGGATTTGGAAGAGGTTTTTGGAATATGAGACAAGCTCTCTGGAGACTTCCAAGATTAGCAGGCATGGGGCCTCAGGAGAAAATGGTTGGGGTACATAGAGGTGATCTAGTCTAGAGCATTCCAAGGTGGGGAAGATCTGCAGAATATGAGGTCTCTGGGCCAGATTTTGGAAATCTACAGAAGGGTTCAAGAAGTATGAAAAAGGAATGGAGTACATATGAGAGATGGAAGCAATGAGGGGAGGGGGTCCTCCAGGTGAGTTCTGGAATCTATGAGCATTCCAGTAGTATCTGAAGAAGACTTTTCTGGGATATGTAAGCTTTTCAAGGAAGACAGATGTAGGGTTCACCAGGGGCATCCTGAAGGATTTGGGGGATAAGAGTGAAAATCTCTAAGATTTCTAGAATGAGGAAGGGTGAGAGGGTAAATTCTTGGGGTATGTGAAGAGGAAGTCTGAGGGAGATGGATGGAATATGTGATGCGGATGGAGGGGGGTCTAAATGCCGAGGGGGGGGTCTGGGGGCGGTTTGGGGGCTTCAGGGTGGATTCTGAGGGAGATGCCGGAGATAAATACGCTGCGGAGACTGACGAGGAGCAGCCGCCAAGAAATGTGTTGCGACCCAGGAGGAAGATGGGGGGGGGACGGACGACAACCAGGGGCCAGAGGGCGGGGATCCATGGGGAAGGTCCCCGGAGGAGGCAGTTGAAAGCTGAGGGTGGTCTCCTGGGAGGCCGCTGGAGGCCGTGCGGGAGGACCAGGCAGAGGCGTGCCGGGTCAAGACAGAGGTCCTTGGGCCCGGCCCCTCGACTATCCCCAGGGCGTGAGCGTTTGGGAGGGAAGCTGAGGAAGGGGCCCGGGTGGGGAGAAGCGGGCTGACTGCGGGGACCTCCCGAGGCCCGAGTCCGCCGCCCGCCGCCCGCCGCGGCCCGCGGCGCGGGGTCCCTGAGGGGGCGGGGCCGGCCGCGCGGCCTGGGTCGCCCTGAGGGGAGCGCCGCGCGCCTCGACCGCCGCCGCCCCGCGCCCGCCGGCCCGGCCCTGCCCGAGACTCACCGCCTCGGCCTCCGCCGCCGCCGCCGCCGCCGCCCGCGCCTCCTCAGGCAGCCGCCGCCCCCCGCGCCGCCGCTGCCGCCGCCGCCGCCGCCGCCGTCGCCCCCTCTCCGGCCCGACAGCTCCCCTCCCTCCTCCCGCACCGACCACCACCACCACCGCCGCCGCCGCCGCCGCCGTCGCGCTGCGTCACCGCGCCGTGCGTCACCGCCCCTGGCCCCGCCCCGGAGGGCCCCTGCGCGCCAGCATTAGCTCACACCCGATTGACGGACGGCGAAGCCAGCCAACTGGCGGTGAGAGCAGCCTGAAGGGTGGGCGGGGTGCGGCAAGCAAGGCGGGGTCCTGGCCGGGAAGGGAGCGACGGGGCTGGAACGCGGCCTGAGAGCCCCGCCCCCTTCTCACTACGATTGGTCAGGCGTGGGGGTGACGGGCAGATGGCCGGGCCCCGGGCGGAGGGCAGAGGGCCGGGAAGGGGAGGGGCGCGCGCCGCGTTGCCCCGGGCAACAGGCCGGCGGAGCCCGCGATTGGGCCTCCGGGCCCGCAGGAGGCAGCCTCGCGCCGGTCTAACTCAGCGGCAGCGAACCGAGTCACAATTCCTCATTCTGGCGTTCAAGGCCCCCCCCCTCCCCGCCCCTCGGTCACGCCCGGCCCAAGGTCTGTATCCTGTAGTGCCTTCGCCATTTGGGGTGACAATGCTGCATTCCGGTTCCTGGTGCCGATTGGCCGCGCTTAAAGTGACACAGATGAGCGAGGTCCACCCTTTAAGGGTGGAAAGAGATAAGACCCACCCTCCACTCCACCCCCGCGCACAAAAGAGGCTGTGAATAAATGGAGAGCGCTGTGGTTACTTTTGTCGTGATCTTAAGCCGACCACAAACTGTCCTGCGTCGGGGTGAACTGATTGGAAAGGGGCCGGCGCTCCAGAAGGATGACAGCAACGTGGCTTGTTCCGAGAACTCCAAGAAATGCCGTCAGGGTGGAGTGTCTAGCTTACGACAGAGAGTAGTAGGAAGTGAGCTGCGACCAGATGTTTGGCCACTGGAGGGAGTTTGCACTTGTGCTGAAGTGATTAGGGGGACGTGGCAGAGATTCAAGACCAGCGAGGTCTTGGGGAATTGGAAGTTTGGAAGCGACGCCTCTGGCTTACACAAGAAGGAGGGATGGGAAAGAATGGGACGCGGAGGAGTCCAGGGAGCTACCTGGGGAGTTGGGGCGGGGTTGCATCTGGGAGGGACCCTGGGGAGGGGAGGAGATGGGAGGGACACCTAGGTGGCTCTCTGAACTAGCCTTTTGCCACTGGCTGGCCACAGGGCGGAAGAGAAAAGTCCAGGACAAAGCCCTCTGGGAGACTGGGTCCAGAGGAGAAGCCCAGTGTGGGACGCCCAACAGCGAAGTCAAGAACATTGCCCCACCTCGGGGACAAACAGGCTGGAGACCAGGATTTAAGGATCATTTGAGATGGTAATTGAAGCTGTGGGAGTGGGTGACCGATTCCAGGGAGGTTAGGACGGATGAATGGGACAAGGATCAGATGGAACTGAAAAATGAGGACACTTGGTTTGAGAAAAGAAATGAAGATTGTGAAGTGGAAGCAAGAAAGTAGAAGAACTGGGCGTTGTGGCGCGCGCCTTTAATCCCAACAAAGGCAGAGACAGGGGCTTCTCTGTAAATTCGAAGCCAGCCTGGTCTATATAATGACACCCTGTCCCAAAAAATAGAGAGGAGAGAGAGAGAAACCTGAAGAGGATGAGGAAAGGCCATTTCATGCCAGAGGACTTCACAAGCCCCATCTATTACTTGTTTTGGTTTGGATTTTTTGAATTAGGATCTCATTCTAGTCCTGACTGGCTTAGACCTTCTTTCTTAACACCAGACTAGTTGCAATTCTCCTTGAAAGTGTGGACTAACCGCCCCTCCCCCCTTTTACCTGGAACTTTGGTTTCTTTTAAGACAGTTATTTTTCTGGGGCTGGAGAGATGGCTCAACAATTAAGAGCATTGACTGCTTTGCCAGAGGACCTGGCTTCAATTCCCAGCACCCATATGGAGACTAACAACTGTAATTTCAGTTCCAGGGGATCTGTCATCCCCTTGACTTCTGCAGGCCCAAGACATACAAGTGACACTCAGACATATGCAGGCAAAACACTCACACACATAAAAAATTTTTAAATATTTTAAGAGCCTGGTGTGGTGGTGCATGCTTTTAATCCCAGCATTCCCGAGGCAGGCGGATCTCTGAGTTTGAGGCTAGCCTGGTCTACAGAGCTCCAGGACAGTCAGAGGGCTACTCAGAGAAACTCTGTCCAGAAAATAAATAAATGAGCAAATAAACAAATAAAAAGCTAGCATTGTGGCATGGAGTTTAAGAGAAAATTGGGAAACATCAAGTATAGATGACTGTTTTGGGCAAGTTTGGAAGGAAATAAGCAGCAGATGTGGTTGCCATGGCATGCAAGTGGCAGTCAAAGAACAACGAACAAGAATCAGTTCTGGCCGGGCGGCGGCGGCGGCGGCGGCGGCGGCGGCGGCGGCGGCGCACGCCTTTGATCCCAGCACTTGGGAGGCAGAGCCAGGCGGATCTCTGTGAGTTCGAGGCCAGCCTGGGCTACCAAGTGAGTTCCAGGAGAGGCGCAAAGCTACACAGAGAAACCCTGTCTCGAAAAACCAAAAAAAAAAAAAGAATCAGTTCTGCCTTACCATGCGGGTTCAAACTTCCGTGGTCAGGCTGGGCACCAAACACCTTAATCTGCTGAGCAAACTCCATGACCCTGTTTGTTTTGAGACAGGGTCTCAATGTGTAGTCCTGGCTGTCCTGGAACTCAGCTATGTAAACCAGGCTGGCCTCAAATTCATAGAGATCCGTCTGCCTTTGGCTCCTGGGTACTTAGTTAGATTAAAGGCAAGCATCACCAAACCCAGCCATTTATTTTTGAGACAGGTCTCAGCCCAGATTGGCCTCTTAACTCTCCAGTTAGCTAAGAATGACCTTAAACTGTAGATCCTCCTTCCTGCTCCTCTTGGGTGCTAGATGAGCTACTCCACAGAGTTTATACGGTGCTGGGGATGCCCAGAGCATGCATACTAGGCAAGCACTCTACCAACTGAGCTACAGCACCAGCCATATTACTTTTAATGTTTGTTTATAGACTAGTTTTTATTGTATGTGTGTGGGGTTTTTTGCCTGCATGTTTTTCTGTGTGCCACATGCATACCAGAAGAGGGCATTGGATCCCCTGGAACTGGAGTTACAGACAATTCTTAGACATCATGTGCGTTCTGGAAATGGGACATGGGTTCTCTGGAAGAGCAGCCAATGCTCTTAACCATTGATCTTTCTCCCTTTATTTTTGGTCTTTGGAGACAGTGTCTTATTATATACCCCTGACTGGCCAGCTGATATTCGGGCCTCAGCCTCCTGAGTGTTGGGATTATAGATGTGTTCCATCACACATGGCTGGAGACTCAGTCGGTCCTTTTTAAAATGGAAGAACTAACATTTCATGAGGCTCAGGTGAAGAGCCATCGGGACGGGGCAGATTATAGGAAGGGCTGGAGAAGAGCTGTAGAGGTAGCCTGGCAGGGAGGTGGAGACCAGTGATTGTCCGTTGTTAGAAAGGAGAGCCAGCACAGAAAGCCAAGTGCAGCAAGGATTTAGGAATTTTTTTTTTGCTTGCTTATATTTCTTCACTAAAATATATATGATTTTCTCATAAATTACCTTGTTTTTATTTCTTCTTTATGGGACAGTTGGGTTTATTGATTGATTTTTTTTAAATTTATGCATGTAAGTAGGTCATATTACACAGGAATTTTATTTCAAGAAAGGAAAGGGAACAATATGAGTACTTTGTGTATATGTGTGTGTGTGTGTGTCTGTCTGTGTGTCTGTGTGTGTGTATACAAGTGCTCGAGCATGAGAACAAAAAGTCAGGCCTTGTGCACGCTAACATATGCTTTCACTGAGCTACACTCAACACTTCTTTATTTTATCAGATTTTCTAGAGTTTTTGTATGTTGTTCCTTTTTTTCTTTTTTTTTTTTTTTAAAAGATTTATTTATTTATTATACATAGTGTTCTGTCTGCATGTGTCCTTGCAGGCCAGAAGAGGGCACCAGATCTCATTACAGGTGGTTGTGAGCCACCATGTAGTTGCTAGGAATTGAACTCAGGACCTCTGGAAGAGCAGTTAGTACTCTTAACCACTGAGCCATCTCTCCAGCCCCCTTTTTTTCTTAAGATTTATTTTATTTTGTTTGTATGAGTGTTTTGCCTGCATATATGCATGTATACAACATGTATGCCTGGTACCCACAGAGGTCTGAAAATGGTGTTGGATCCTCTGGAACTGGAGTTACAGAATGATCATGAACTATTCTGTAGATGCTGGGAATCAAACCCTGGTCCTCTCCAAGAGCATCCAGTGCTGTTTTGTTTGTTTGGTTTTGGTTTTGGTTTTTCAAGACAGAGTTTCTCTGTGTAGCTTTGGAGCCTTTCCTGGAACTCACTCAGGCTGGCCTCAAACTCACAGAGACCTGCCTGCCTCAGCCTCCCAAGTGCTGGGATTAAAGGTGTGCACCCCCACCGCCCGGCTGCCAGTGTTCTTAACTGGTCTTAGCCGGTGAGCCATCATCTCTGGTGCCCCTTGTTTTCTAAATGTTTTGTTTTGTTTTCTCTTTTTCTTTCTTTCCTTTTTTTCTTTTTTGAGATAGGATCTCATGTAGGCCCAGGGTGGGTTCATTTTAGTCCAGGCTGGTCTCAAACTTGCTATCTAGCCAAGGATGGCCTTAACTCTTGACCTCCTGTCTCTCTCTTCCAAATGCTAGAATTAGAGGACTGGATCTGTTTTGTTGTTTTTGACAGGAAGCTGAACTGTGTAGCCCAGGCTGGCCTGCAAGTCTCCATCCTCCTGCTTCTGCCTCCCAGGTGCTGGGATTACAGGCATGCACCACTATGCCCTGCTAGTATCTACTCTTTCGGTTTTAAATGTATTTTTTTAGAACATATTTTATTTGTTTATGTTTGTATAAATGTGAGAATGCCACATCCCACTTGTGGAGGTCAGAGGATAATTTGTGGGAATCAGTTCTCTCCTTACCCATGTGGGTCCCAGGGATTGAACCCAGTTCTTCAGGCTTTGTAGCAAGTGCCTTTACCTGCTGAGCCCTCTCACAGGCCCTGTTTCGGTCTTTTGATATGCAGGATCTCTGTGTAACTCTGGCTAACCTGGAGTTCACTATTGTCAACCAGGCTGGCCTCACACCCACAGCAGTCCTGAGTGCTACATTGTATATATGCCATACATTATATGCCACCATGATTTATTTTTGAGACAGGGTCTCTCTATGTAGCCTGTCACCACCGCTCTAAACGCTGTGAGACCTTGCTGATAAAAAAAAAAAAAAAAAAGAGGCAGACTTAGCCAGTCATGGTGGCGCACGCCTTCAATCCCAGCACTAGGGAGGCAGAGGAAGGAGGATCTCTGAGTTCAAGGCCAGCCTGGTCTACAAAGCAAGTTTCAGGACAGCCAGGACTACACAGAGAAACCCTGTCTCAAAAGCGGCGGGGGGGGGGGGGGGGGGGGGGGGGGGGGGGGGGGGGGCTAAAGTCTTGTGCAACAGCCCACTTCATTCGGAGCCCCAGCCAATTTACACCCCGCAGGTTAACATGGTCACGTGGGTATAGTTCTCATGAGTTCAAGCTGTATATAATCACAAGGAAAGCCACAAGGACAAACCACATGTGGCCAAAACATATTTTTTCCACAGAGGTAATAACTGAATAACATCAGCAAGCAATAATGAGTAATCAACTCACGCCATTCCCCTACACCTGGGAGGCACATGAAAACACTTTCTAAGAACAATTCTGGCACACCTTTAATCCCAGCACTTGGGAGGCAGAAGCGGGTGGATCTCTGTGAGTTTAAGGCCAGCCTGGTCTACAGAGCGAGCTCCAGGACAGCCTGGGAGGGCTACATAGAGAAACCTCGACTCAAAAAAAAAAAAAAACAAAAACCAATCAACCAAACAAAACTGTCTTGAAGAAACTGAGGCCACAAGATTCTTGTCTAGTTTTCCTGTAAGCACTTAGAATTCTCCACGGCTCCATTCCTGGACTGTGTTCTGTGCCCTGCTTTTCCTGGAACTCACAATATTGACCAGGCTGGCCTTGATCTCACAAAGATCCACCTGCTTCTGCCTGCTAAGTGCAGGAATTAAAGGTGTATCCCACCATGCTGGGCTTATTAACTCTTTATTAGGCACATGTGTGAACCCGGGGGCTCGCTGGAGCTATTTTCTCTTCACAGCAGCCCCAGATCAGAGACATGGATTTCCTCAGCTAGGGCCACACAGTGAGCAGTATTCGAACCTCTGTCTCAGTGACCACAAAGCCCTCACAGGTTCTGGCAGATGCAGAGAAGGAAGGAAGGGGAGGAGCCCTTGGTGACAGTTGTCCCAGACCAGGCATAAACAGGATGTGGTGTTAGATGAAAGCTTCCCCCTGCCACAGCCCGCCCCTCTCAGCCCGGGTCTCCACCCCTAGAAGACAACGGAACTGTGAGGAGGCCTGAAGACAGAAAAGCCATGGTCAGAGGGCCTGGGTGGCAAGGAAGGGCAAGGGGCTGAGGTTTAGGGTGGACTGGGGCAAGGAGGGTACCTGGATGAAGATCAGCTGGAGGATGAAGGTCACAGGCAGGGAAGGAAGGGACCCAGTTGAGGCAAAGGGTCTAGCTAGGGCATAGAGGTGGTAGTTTTAAGTTTGGCCCCAAGTAAGCAGATCTTTGGGTCTTCTGGAATAATTCATGAGTACCTACCGGGAAGGTGTATACCCTTCCCGTGTCTGCCCTCTGTGTATACCCAGAGCTAAGCTGTGTGTCCCGTTGACTGGCGCCCACTGAGGTGTTTGCCACAGTCCTCTCACGTGGCTAGCTTCAGATTCTTCACTGGTTTATGGGGAAACTGAGTCAGGAAAGGAGCCAGGTTAGAGGCCCAGCCAGCTCAGCTCCTCCCTGTCCCATTGGCAGTCGGATTCCCTGGTGGTGTGTGAAGTGGACCCGGAGCTAAAGGAAAAGCTGAGGAAATTCCGTTTCCGAAAAGAGACCAACAATGCAGCCATCATAAGTCAGTGACCTCTGCCCTACGGAAGGGTGGGGCAGGGGACCGGGAAGGAGGCCTGGGCTAGTGTCCCCTGGGATGGGAGGGCCCTGTAACCTGTGTTCTATCCCTCTCCAGTGAAAGTGGACAAGGACCGGCAGATGGTGGTGCTGGAGGAAGAATTCCAGGTGAGGGGCCGGGATGTGGGACCCCCAAATACAGTGAGCGGTCTGGGGACACAATTGGTAGACTGCTCCCTGGGTACCTCATAAACAAGGGACAGTGGCACATGCTTGTAATGCTCTAGAGGTGGAGACAGGAGGACAAAAGAGTCAAGGTCATCCTTGGCTACAGTGTTAGTTGGAGGCTCGCCTGGGCTACAGGAGACCCTGTATCAAAAAGCCAAATAAAGGTTGGGAGCGGTGGCACCGGCTTTTAATCCCAGAACTCAAGAGGCAGAGACAGACAGATCTCTCTTGTGTGTTTGAAGCCAGCCTGATCTACACAGTGAATTCAAGTTTTACCCCTGCTTTGAAAAAAAAAAAGCCAAGTGTTGGTTAGGGCTAACTATTGCTGTGATGAAACACCGTGACCAAAAATAAGCTGGGGAGAAAGGGGTTATTTGGCTTACATATCCTGAATTACAGTTTCACCGGGAAGTCAGGGCAGGAACTCAAACCTGACTGGAGGCAGGAGCTGATGTAGAGGCCGTGGAGGGGAGCTGCTTACTGGCTGGCTCCCCATGACTTGCTCAGCCTGCTTTCTTATAGAACCCAGGACCACCAGCCCAGGGATGGCCCCACCCACGGCGGGCTGAGTCTTCCTATAACACTAAGAGAGTGCTCTACAGGCTTGCCTACAGCCAGGCTAATTGAGGCAATTTCTCAATTGCGGTTTTCTCCCCTCAGATGTCTGTAGTTTGTGTCAAGTTGACATAACAAAGTCGCCAGCAACTAGGGCTTTCGTTCTAGATAAGGTAGCCCAAAGCCACCAGCAACCCTGTATAACTGGATAAGACTCCCATTTTGTGGCCTTGCTGTCCGCATCAGCCTGCCTTCCTTCCTCCTTTCTGGGGTTGAGGCTGCTTGGCAGGGAAGGGTATGGCCCAGGAGGAGCTGGGCTTCCTTAGGCCGCCCCTGAAAGGAAGTATAGTAGAGTGGTTACCATGGGAACACTGATTGAAATCGGAACTCTGGCATTTACTGTCTTGTGCAATGTGGGGCAAGTCCCTTGACATCTTTGTGCCTCAGTTTCTGTAGCTGTTGAGTGGGCATAATAAGACCTCTTCATAGGATCCTGAGAAAACGAGTCCACAGGTGCTTCTTAGAACAATGTCTCTACACATTTCAAGTGTTCATTTAGTGAATGATGGTCATTTGTTCTCTCTCTCTTTCAGAACATTTCCCCAGAGGAACTTAGGTCGGAGTTGCCAGAGAGACAGCCCAGGTATCCTGGGGGAAGGAATGGTATGGAGGATTATGGGTAGGGGGTGATAAAAGACCTACAAATTGGCCAGGCAGTGGTGGCACACGCCTTTAATCCCAGCACTCGAGAGACAGAGGCAAACAGATCTCTGTGAGTTCGAAGCCAGCGTGGGCTACAAAGCAAGATCCAGAAAAGGCGCAAAGCTACACAGAGAAACCCTGTCTCGAAAAACAAACAAACAAACAAACAAAAGACCTACAAATTGGGGGGTTGTTGTGCTCCAGTTCTGTCTATGGGCTCAGGATCTCTGCGTTTAAAGACAAGAAATCTTGTCTTGAAACAATGATGTGCCTGAAGACATCATAGGATCTCCTGGAACTAGAGTTGTGAGCCATCATGTGGGTGCTGGGAATGGAACCCAGGTCCTCTGCAAGAGCAGCCAGTGCTCTTCACTGCTGAGCCAGCTCTCCAGTCCTTACACTAATAATTTTTAAAAGATAAACAAACCAGCAGGGCATTTTAAATATTAAAAAAATTGCCGGGCGGTGGTGGCGCACGCCTTTAATCCCAGCACTCGGGAGGCAGAGCCAGGCGGATCTCTGTGAGTTCGAGGCCAGCCTGGTCTCCAAAGCGAGTTCCAGGAAAGGCGCAAAGCTACACAGAGAAACCCTGTCTCGAAAAACCAAAAAAAAAAAAAAAAAAAAAAAAAAAAAAAAAATTAAGGTCAGGTCTGGTGAAACATGCCTTTAATCTCAGTGCTTGGGAGGCAGAAGCAGGTGGATCTCTGTGAGTTCAGGGCCAGCCTGGTCTACATAGTGAGCTCCTGTTTCAGAAAAAAAGTTGTTTGTTTTTTTTAAAATTTATGTGTATGGGTGTTTTGCATGCATGTATGTCTATGCACTACATGCTCTCAGAGGCCAGAAGAGGGCTTTGGATCCCCTGGAACTGGAGTTATAGAGCATTGTGAGCTACCTTGTGGGTGCTAGGAACTGAACCCACCCTCTGCAAGAGCAAAAATTGTTCTTAACTGCTGAGACATGTCTCCAGTACTCCCCACTTTAAAAAAAGATTGAATTTATTAATGTGCATGTGTGTATGTGAGCCACCTGACATGGGTCCTGGGAGCTCATCTTCCATTTTGTGCAAGAACAAACAAAGGACTCCACCACAGAGCCATCTCTCCAGCCCATCTTGGTGTTCCTTTGAAACATGGTCTCATGTATCCCAGGTTGGCCTTGAACTCAGTATATAGGCAAGCACAGCTTTGAATTCCTGATCTTGCCGCTTTCTCCCAAGTGCACCACGTCCTCTCTGATTTCCGTTTTCTGTTTCAGCCTTCTGAGTGCTGGTATTACAGGCCTGTGCCACTGTGCCTGACTCAAACTGGTCTGTCCATATCTTTCATCTTGACTCAGTTCTTTTTTGGTCTCTCTAGTTTTGGACCTCATTCCCAGGCTCAGGGACTTTTGACAACTGCAAAGACCCTGGGCCCAGAACAGGGCCTGGCCCCTGGGAGGTTCAATGCTGATGTTCTTTTGAGTTTTATCTTAGAGTTTGTCTTTTGTGTGAAATCTGACCCATTGGACAGTGGCGCTTAGCACCTTGGTTCACATCCTGTGCCACCCCTGTTTCAGGCACCAGCTCCCAGCATCTCCTTGTGACTGCTGTGCACTCAGGTTCCATTGCTGGGATAGGGGAGTGGGGCCCAGCACCAGCCTCTCATCACATGCATGTTCCAGGGCACCTCTCTGGCAGTCTGCTCTCCAAGTGGATATCCCCATGGCTGAGAGAGCTCAATATTAAATTACACTTTTTAAGTATTTGAGACAGGAGCTAATGGAGTCCAGGCTGGCCCGAGACCCTGTGTAGCTGAGGTTAACTGCACTTCTGATCCTCCTGTATCCCATACATACCACATGCTGGGATTACAGGTGTGTGCTGCCATGACCCGCTCCAGATTCCAGGACATGAACTCAAAGAACAGCGACTGGGCTGCTTCTTGGGTGCTGAGCGTGACTTCCCTTTCTCTGCTGTAGGTTTGTGGTCTACAGCTACAAGTACTCGCATGCCGATGGCAGGGTGTCCTACCCTCTGTGTTTCATCTTCTCCAGCCCTGTGGGTGAGATGCAGCTCTAACTGTCCTGAGGAGAGGGTCTTCCACTCTGAGAAGCAGTGTGGGTGGGGGTGTGGGGGTGGGGTAAGTGGGGGTGGGGGGGTGTTCGCGCGTGCGTGCGTGCGTGCGTGTATGGCCATGGAGGTGTCTGTGAGTGGGTTCAGGCGCCTCTAAGTGTGGATATGGGAGCTGGTAGGGCCCAGCATGCTGCAAGCCCTGAGTTCTATTCCCAGCACCACCAAAACAAAACAAATGACTGGGAGGGTATAATAGTAGCGGGGTATGTTGGTTCGCGCCTTCAATGCCAGCACTCGGGAGGCAGAGTCGGGCGGATCTCTGTGAGTTTGAGACCAGTCTGATCTACATAGCGAGTTCCAGGACAGCCAGAGCTACGTAGAGAGAGACCCTGTTTCACACACACAACAACCCCCTTCTAAAACACAGTACCGGCCAGGCATGGCTGTGTCCTGCCTGTAGTCTCAGCACTTGGGACACCGAGGCCTGAAGGATGACTGTGAGTTCCTAGGCTGCAGAGGGAGGCCTTATCTGAACAACAAACAAGGCCTGGGACTCGAGCCCGTAGTCCCAGGACTCAGGAGGCAGGGGCAGCAGATCTTTGTGAATTCAAGGCCAGTCTTGTCTACACAGTGAGTTCAACACCAGCCTGGGCTACACAGTGAGACCCTAAACAAAAGTGTAATCATGTGACTGCGTGTGTGTGTGTGTGGGGGGGTGCACTGTATGTGGGAGCTGTGAAGTAGAGTTAGGTACTTAGATTCATCAAGAGCTCACACATAGCCTCGTGTGGTGGCTCACGCCTTTAATCCTAGCACTCGGGAGGCAGAGGCAGGCGGATCTCTGTGAGTTCAAGGCCTGCCCAGTCTACAGAGCGAGATCCAGGACAGGCACCAAAACTACATAGAGAAACCCTATCTCAAAAAACCAAAAAAGCCGGGCGGTGGTGGCGCACGCCTTTAATCCCAGCACTCGGGAGGCAGAGCCAGGCGGATCTCTGTGAGTTCGAGGCCAGCCTGGGCTACCAAGTGAGTCCCAGGAAAGGCGCAAAGCTACACAGAGAAACCCTGTCTCGAAAAACCAAAAAAAAAAAAAAAAAAAAAAAAAAAACCCTCAAACATTCTTGTTCATGTTATCAGGAAATCCTACCAGGGTCCTGAATCTTCTCCCAGACACCCTCACTGTAACCTGAAGCTCCTAAACAAATCTAGAATAGCCAGCCTCAGGGTCCTCCTGCCACCCTCCTCAAACTACTGTGCGTTCATTACTATTAGAGTCTTACCGACTGGGTGTTGTGCTCCCAACCACACCCATTCTCCTCCGAGTATAGCCTCAGGGTCCTCCTGCCACCCTTCTTGAACTACTGTGCCTTCAGGACTATCAGAGCCTTACGACTGGGTGTTGTGCTCCCAACCACACCCATTCTCCTCTTTTCCACGCAGGCTGCAAGCCTGAGCAACAGATGATGTACGCGGGGAGTAAAAACAGGCTGGTGCAGACGGCGGAGCTTACAAAGGTCGAGAGGGGCCCCAGCTCTGGAGGGGCTGCGCAACTCTGGGGTCTGAGGGAGGGAGCCAGGGGCTGAGCCCCTGGGGCTGGGGGGCAGGTGCTAGGTTCCAGATTCCTGGGTCTGAGAGAGCAGGGCCTTGTCCTGGGTCTGAAGGAGCAAGGCTGGTCTTGGACTCCTGGGTTTGAAGGAGGAGGGCTGGGATCTGGACTTTTGAGTCTGAGGGGTCAGGAAGCCGCACTAGATCATAATGAGACACCTCTCTACCCAGGTGTTTGAAATCCGCACCACAGAAGACCTCACCGAGGCCTGGCTTCAAGAAAAGTTAGCTTTCTTTCGTTGACCATTGAGCCAGGGATTTGAAGTCCTTATGTCTGAAGACCCAGACTCCTAGGATAATGAACATCCAAGATCTAAATAAAGATTAAAAATTCTGGAACTTAGTGATCCTTAACTCGGTTCTGATGCGGTATCTGCACCTCTTTGTAGGTGTTGGCCGACAGTCCCCGCGGTTCCAACTTATGGCCAGCAGGGGGCGGACGTTTCTACTGGAACCAAGCTGGCCCCAGGAGGAAAAGACACCTGTTTCTCAGAAACCACGGGAGGGGACTATGGGGCTTCCTGGGATGGAATGGGAAACGGGTGGCCTGCGTCCTTTTAAGGAATTTTGGGGAATGTTCGAATCCGTGAAGGGGTCACTCTTAAGGGGGAAAAGGCCCCTGAGAAGAGAGTTTGGTACCCCTCTCCTCACCTCTTCTCCCGCTCTGGGGCTAGAAGGTATCTTCTGGCACTAAATGCTACGTTTCTCAGCCGATCCCTCAGGTAGGAAGAAGTTAAAGACAAACAAACAAACAAACAAACAAATAAATAAATAAATAAAATAAAAAAAATCAAAAGATCTGGCACCAGGAGGATGCTGGGAGATGGATGGTTTAGAGGTTGGACAAGCCTGAAGACCCAGGACTATGGGAGGTGAAGAAGATTCAGGACTGTCAGTGAACCCCAGAGGACTTGAAGAGTCAGGGAAAGGGAGGCTCCCCCCACACTTGTCTTTTCTCTTTCTTTTTTTCCAGCACCTCTGGGCACTGGATTCCCTCGGACCTCTGTCTCTCTTTGAAGGACATTGACTGAGCACTCAGGGTTTACAGGGCTCTGAGATGGGCAGTCATGACAGAGATGGCTCATACTTCCCGGTCCCTTCTCCCACTGTCTCCCATGTTTTCTCAGTCCTCACACCCGGGGGCCCCTGGAACTCCCTCCCTCCACCTCTCTCCAGGTTCCCTGTTGAGAGGTGGCCGTTGCCATGGTAACAATGACAGAGTGACCTTGGGCCTGGGCCGTCCCTCCCCCGAGCCCTGGTGCTCCTAGGGGCGGGCCTAAAAGGGAATTCATACCTTGCCTCTCCCTCCCAGCCGTCAGATTCTTCACCTCATTCTGCCCCTTCCATCCCTGTCCCCTCGTCTCCAGTCAAGACAAGCCCTCCACGGAGAAGTTCTGCATGGAATATCTCTATGCTGGGCTGTGCAGAAATGCCTTTATCCATCCATGTTCTGGGGGCTTTGGATCAAGTTTGTCTCCTTCCTGCTGGAGGCCCCACTCCACCCACATTACTTTTTTTTTTTTCCCTCTTGGAATTTTGAGACAGGGTTTCTCTGTGTAGCCCTGGCTGTCCTGAACTCACTCTGTAGACCAGGCTGGTCTCGAACTCAGAGATCCTTCCTCCCAGGTACTGGGATCAACAGTACCACATCACTTCTGATCATGGTGGGAAGGAGAGGTCTGGGGACAAGAGGGGGTATGCAGTGAATGAACCCCTGGCTTGCCAGGATTAGAGAGGAAATGACACTTGTCCAAGGTCACACACTCACAACCTCCGATGCATAACAAGGATTTGTAGCAGCCATACAGGCATCGGCTTAATTCTTAAGAAACTGAGGCACAGAAGCCGAAGCCACAGACTATTCCATGTCCAAGGGTCATACCTCACTGTTTTAGGCAAGAGTCTCAGCAGCCATCTTTCCCTTCTCCCTCCTCCCTACCCTATCCTTCAGAGTTTAACTTGCTTATAGGTTGTCACTGTAAATAAATCCAGTCAGAAAAGGTCATGTATGGGACTTGCCCAATCAAGAGCAGATTTGGAAAGCAAGGACCAATCAGAGGGTCCAGAACAGATTATCCAATGAAGAGTCAGTATAATGGGGGTGGGTGTTTTATTGATGTATTTTATTAAGTTGTATGCATGTGTGTGTGTGTGTGTGTGTGTGTGTGTGTGTATGCGCGTATGCGTGATAGCCATAGGACAACTTTCAGGAGTTGGCTCGCTCTTTCCACCTTGTGGGTTCCAGGGATCGAACTCAGATCTTCAGTCTTGGCCAGAGATGGGTACTGAGCCGTCTCACCAGCCTAAGCTTTTTAAGTTTTAAATCTGCATGCTAGTTTTTCCCAGGGCAACTTCTTTCTCTTCTTGGACATGGGCAGGGCTTATGTTTGAGAAGCTCAGAAGGGATTTTAGCACAGAATGAAGACTCCAGGCCTAGGCTGAAAGTTAGGATTCTTTGGGTAGGAAGGCAAAGACAGAGGGTGTGGCTTAGACAGAAGAGGTGGGGCTTATATTTGTGGGCGGAGCCTATGATGAATATTATTTACTTCCGAGTCCATGCTAAGAATCTAGAGTCTCAGGCTGGACGTGGTAACACCGGCCTTTAGTCCAAGCACTGAGAGGCAGAGGCAGGTGGATCTCTCTGGGTTTAAGGCCAGTTTGGTTTACATGGCAAATTTGGGGCCAGCCCATCATATAGAGCTGGGATTTAGGCTTTGAGGCGGCACCTAAGAGGCAGCCGGTAGGACCAGAATTGGGGGTAGAGCCTAGGTGAAGAATTATGGGCTTGGTCATCAGTTGTATTGGTAGGTCTGTTCAGGAACTAGGGCTCCAGTTAGACAACTGCACTGTGTACTTTCGGTGTTCCACTACCTCTGCCTGCTTCGAAGGCTCTTCATTTGTCCATTGTTTGTCTCCATTACTTTCCCCTCTTCCCCCTCACCTCCAGCCCAGGCCTGACTTCACCTCTTTCCCCTTCATTTTTTATGCTATGCTGCCACTTATTACCTACCTGTGTGACCCTGGGCAAGGGACTAAACCCCTCTCTGCCTCAATGATTCTCATCTGTAAAATGGGCATAGTCATGGGAGCACTTCCTTACCTGAAGGCCCCCAAACCGTTGCTGCCTACAGTATTGCTACATCTATGTTCACATTTGCTGCCATTATTCTCCTACTTCCTTATTGTGGTGTGTGTGTGTGTGTGTGTGTGTGTGTGTGTGTGTGTGTGCCAGAGGTCAACCTCAGGTGTTCTTTCTCAGGAGTGGTCCATCTTTTTTTTTTAATTTTAAAAAATTATATGCATGGCAATGGTGCACATCTTTAATGCCAGCACAAATAAAAAAAATGTTGTCTGTGTATGGGTGTAATGTCTGTGCGCCACTTGCATATCTGGTGCCTGCGGAGGTCAAAAGAGGGCGCTGGATCCCTGGGAATTGGAGTTACAGAGACCATGAGCTGCCATGTAGGTGCTGGGAATTCTCTTTGGAAGAGAAGCCAGTGTTTTTAACAGATGAGCCATCTCTCCAGCACGGGTTTACTTTGTTTGTGAGACAGATTCTCTCACTGGACCTAGGGCTGGCAGGTTAGGCTACACTGGGTGGCCCAAAAATCCTCCAGGGATCTGTCTCTCTCAACCTCCACAGAGTTTGGGTTCCAGGAACCCCATCATGCCCCTGTACAGCACCCCAAAGGCTTCACAGACTGAATGATCTCCCTAGTCCCTCTTTCTGCTTCTGTCTCAACCCTGTACCCCCTTGCTCTAGCTAGAAGGTGGGGTGGGGATGGTGTCTGGAGGGTGTGGACAGGTGGAGACTAGAGAGGGGAGATTAGGAGCATCCCTTGGGGCTCCTCTTGGTTTTGAGTTGGTCCATCCTTCACCAAAGAGGAGATCTGCAGTGGTGAGTTGGCTCTGGGGTTGTGCCTAGGGAGGATTTATGGAGCTTGGGGGAGGATTTCCACATGGGGGGGGTCCCTAGTGGGAAGTGTTTGAGACACAGGCTGCAATAAGATCTTGAGGAAGGCTTTGCTGAGTTTGGGGGTCCTGTGGTGTATCTCAGAAAGAGATGCAACATGGCCTGAGGTACCCAGTGGGCTCTGAGGAAAGGACGGGCAGGCCAGCTCTGGGGTGGGAGTCAGACACTAAGGGTCCAAATAAGGAAGAAGCAAGGTATTCTGGGATCCACGGGAGTCACAGAGGCTACAGGAGCTGAAGGCAGCAGGACTGATTGCTGGGGGTGGGTGGGAAAGAATCTGTGGCAAATGGGGAAAGGTAAACCAAGGGTTGCCCTGAAAGGAACAGAAAGTTCCAAGGTTCCCAAGGGTGCTGGACGATGACCTGAGGTATAGTTGGGGAAATGAGAAGCATTTAAGGGTCTTCGATGAGCAGAAGAGATGTTTGGGGTTAGACATGAGCCATGATCTGCAGTTCCTCCTGTGGGCGGGAAATCAAGGCCTTGATGGAGGAAGGGCATGGTTGGGGTTAGGCCCATTGCTCTGGATGGCTGTGAAACATGGTCTGCTTCCCCAGGGTTCCCCAATGGATCAAGCTATGGTGTGCTCTTTCTGGACACTGACAAATAGTCTGAGTCCACCATGGATTCTGGGGTGTGGTCTGAGTGTTGGGTATGATTTAGGATGACTGGGTGTAGGGTGAGGTCTGGATCCCCCGGGATGCTGTGATATGATCTGAGGTCCCTCTGGAATTAGAGGTGTATGGTCTAGGTTTCCTGACAGGGTGTGACCACCTCCCACCCCCATCTGAAGTCACGAAACAGAGAACACAGTTTCTGGTCCCAGGTGGCTCACCAACATGTTTTGGGGTTTCAAAGGAGGTAAGACCTGTACTCTGAGGATGTGATGGAGAGAGCTGGTGTGTGTGTGTGTGTTGGGGGGGTGGTGGTGTCCAAGTAGCCGCTGGGGCGTGGTCTGGAGGGACGGGTGGGGCCGGGGCCCAGGCTGGACCCCGGCGCTCCGCAGTGGAGAGGGGGTCTGCAGCGACCTGGGCGTGCGTGTGGCCGCCCCACCTAGGGCCGGCGCCCCCTCCCCCCTTGCGGCGGCGACGCGGAGGGCGGAGCGCGGCGGCGCGCGGGAGGGCGGGCGGGAGGCGGGAGGCGGGCGGGAGGCGGCCCCGCGGCACCGCGCCCCCTCCCCCAGCCCTCCCCCCACCATGGCGCGGCGCGAGGCGGCGGCGGCGGCGGCGGCGGGGCCGGGCCCCGGGCCCCCTCCCCCGGGCTGGGTGAGCGCGGCCCGCGGCGGTCCCTGGGGCTCTTTGGAAGCGGCGGGCGGGGGCGCGGGGACGAGCGTGCCCGTGTGTCCGCGGCGCTGCGGCGGGGCCCGGCGTGCGCCCGCCCGCGGCCCTGTGTGTGCCCGGCGCCCCGCCGGTGTGGCCATCCGGGCGTGTGCGGGGCCGCGGTCAGCCGTGCGTGTGCATGTGTGCATGTGTGCGTGTGTGCGCGCGTGTGTCCCACACACTCCGGGGCGCCGGATCTGGGGGGCTGTGGCGCGCCCGTCCGAGGGGCTGTGTGCAGGTGTGTGCGGGGGCTGCGCGCCCAGGTGTGCGGGGCTCCCAGTGGGCCTGTGCGCGCGTGCGGCTGGCTGTGTTGGGGGTCTGTGTCCGGCGGGGTTGGATATCCATCGGAAGGGCTGCGGAGCCGGGTGTGTTCACTCGGGTATCCGTGTGTGTGTGTGTGTGTGTGTGTGTGTGTGTTGTGTTGTATGCGGGTTGGATGTCTCCGAGGGCGTGTGTGTGTGTGTCTGTGTGTGTGTGTGTGTCTGTGTGTCTGTGTCAGGTACCCTGCTGGGGTGGGGGCTGAGGCTCAGCGCATAGTGGGGCCAGGCCTCTGTATGGATGGGGGGGGGTTGCTTGGCTGCTCCCTCGGTCCATGTCAGCTGGGGGGGGGGTCCCTCAGTGATCCTTGGGGGAGACGGCCATGTCTTCCTCCTCTTCTCCGTGGCTGGTTGGGGAGGGGGGATGGGAGGCCGGGAGGTGGACAGATGGAGGGATGAGAGGCCGAGGGATGGACAGATGGGCCCTGGGGTGGGGGGTGAGGGTTGGAGAGTGGAGGGTGGGGATGAAGACCTGGCCCTTCCCACTCCACGCCACCCTAACTCCCCCACCTGCCGGGTATCTGCAGATAGGGCCTCAGTTGCCTATATCTTGATAGCAAGGCTGGGGAAACTCTGGGGGTTGCTGATGGCAGAATCTTTTGGGAACCCGGCTTTGGAACTCAGCCCCTTCCCATTCCTACGAAGTCCCACCTGCTGAACTATGACCTTTGACCCTGGCTTGTACTTGGTTCTTTTTGGGGCAGGCTGTAAAAGGACTGGGAGGGGTGTTAGAATGTGTTTGGCCTGGGAAGTAGGTGGGGCAGAGTGCAGGGCCATGAGGAATGGGGATCAGTGACAGTGTGAAGCTGGTCGGTCTGTTGACTGTGCTCTGTGCTTTGGTATTTTGTGTGCATTTACAAGTGTGCTAGTTCCTCCTGGGACTGTGGCGTGAGTGTGTCTGTGATGCGTGAGCCTCTCAGAGTGCCTCCAAAGTGCCTGTGTGCTTGCTCCCAGCTCCCAGCTTAGTGTGTGTTCGTGCTAAGGGTTCTGTGTGCACGTGTGAAGTGTGCTCCGGCTATACCCGCATGTGTCTGTTGGGGTTCTGTCTGCTCTATGACTGCATGGTGGGAATATGTGAAGTTGCATGAATGTGTTTGGGTGTGAAAGAGTGTGCACCTATGTATCTTTCATTGTGCAGGTGAGTCTTGTGTGTGTGAACCACTGTGTATTGACAAGGGTTATATAGATGCAAGTGTCTGGTTGTCTGATAAGGGGCACACAGGTCTCTCTGTATCTGTGCATCTGTGAATGTGCAAAGGAGAGCCTGTGTGTGTGTGTGTGTGTGTGTGTGTGTGTGTGTATGTATGTATGCAGGTATGTCAACCTTGAGGGGTGTGTGTCTCTCTTGGAAGTCCTTTTCTACTTTAGTCTCTGGGGACCAGGTTCTGTATGTTTAGGCATGTATCTACAAGATACATGCACCTGTGCCTTGGGCACAAATTGACTCTACTTCTGGGTCTAGTGAGTGTGAACTGTATGTAGCATGCCAAGGCATAGTCTGTGGTCCTGGAACACAAATGTGACTATATCCTGGGGTCAGTACTCTGCAGGGCAGGGCACCCAGACTGGGGTGGTGTACCCCTGTAGAGTTTGGATTGAGACTCTCATGGATTGGCATGGGCTCACCAATGTTAATGTGGATTGAGATACGATGGCATGATAGGAACCCCCTGATGCTTCTGCGCTCTGGATGCCACTCATGTCTTTGAAGTTGGGGAGCCCATTTGAGAACTCTTGAGTTCTAAAGGATAAAATGTCTGGTCCAGGCTCTTGGGTCCCAAAAAGAGAAGCCTGGGAATTTAGGAATCTAGGGCTGCTAAGAGGGGTGGGTAGATTCCATACTCCAGGAAACTGATGCAGGTCGGGGAGGGGCTAAGGGTCAGCGCTCCTGAGACACCAGAGGGCAAAGCTCACATCCTGGACTCCTGGGGTTTGGAGGGTGAACAGTCCTGAGGCCCAGTCTCCTAAGGTTTGGATATGACTTTTGGGTCCCTCTGGGAGTCTGAAGATCCTGTAGCAGGGAGCCTGAGAAAGTGATCACTCTAGGGATTTCCTTGGCTCAGATAGTCTCCAAGGTAGGCCTTGATGCCTAGAAAGAAGCTGGAAGAGGCTAACTGTGGTTTTGTTCTTTTGCAGGTACCGGCCCAGGCCCTGACTCCTTGAAGAGAGGTGAGTATAGTACCATGGACCGGATGAGGGATGTGGGGTGTGCCTTGGGCTGGGGAAGAGCTTGGGGTGATAGCACACTGTCTGCCCAGGCCAGAGCTCTACCAGTGTACCCAGGTACAGAAAACCACAGTGTCCAGGGAGGCAGGTGCCCATGCCCACTGAAGAGCAGAGATAAGCCTGTGAGCATTGTAGTTGGGCAAGGGTTCATTTCATGGTGGTCAGGAGGCTCAGAGGGGCCCCATATGTCAAGATATGACATCTCTCAAGATAGGTGGTCACGAAAGTGGGGCCCCATTTTATCAGTAAGGATCCACAAGTGTTTCTAGGCATGGAATAACCCCTGCACAATGGTGATACAGGCCTGTCATCCAAGCAATCAGTGGGCTGAGGCAGGAGAATTATGAGTTTGGTGCCAGCCTGGGCTACTCAGTGAGACCCAATTTCATAAAGAGGAGGAGGAGGAGAAGAAAA